GAAGGCAATAACCATTTCAACACTCAACAGATTTTTTCAAGCGAAACTACGAATTGGGAAACTATCCAGTTTTTCCCGATCCCTACCCCCTTCAAGGCGCCTGAGGGTGTATTGTCACGTTCCACAACCACGAAAATTATCTTCCGCAAAGGTTGAAAGTCGTAAAACCCCTCTTTATCTCTGGAATTGTTCTGAGCGAATTGACGCGGATTTTATCTGCACACTCTTTACACGCAAAATGCGGGATAATTAGTTGCCAAGTGGTAGGCACTTACCACTCTGGAACTCTGACGGGATTGCTGATCCCTCAATTATCAAGTCATATTTGTTTCCCGGGCGGTTTTTAGGGCGATGCTGCAACATTTGCCACCTGAGATTGGGGGTGAAACCCATCTGTTAAAATTTTCTGTATATTTTTTCCTTCTTTCTTCTTGATCTTCCCGCTACTTTGAGGTAGGTTTCCCAGAGGAAACAAAAACACGAAGAAAGCGAACAGAACTGTACCGACTATCGAACAGAAAACGAATCGAATGAACAACTCAACCCATCAATTTAGACGAATAACGACAATACTTGGGACAACTTACCTTGAGCGCTCCCTATTCCAACAAACAATCTCTTCACATTAGAGCGATGTGAACGTAAATTCGGCCCTCTAGGTCTCAGCCGAGTTAGTTGTTGTTGCTTAAAAGCCGAAGGGACGAATTTCACCTTTAATACTCTCCTACATGTGAATATCTGGCGGGTTTTTGGGCACAATTATCCTGGAACGCATGTAATCAAAATGCGGGGACCCAAACACCGAGAGCTTGTTAATTCAAATGGACTAAAGGTGTTGGAATTGGCAAAAAGCGGAAGGGACGACAGAATAGATGGGGGATTGTTAATTAATGGGGAATCAGGAACAGTGTTTTTCGAATGCTATTTGATACTTCATCGCCACACCGGACACTCCAGTTTTGGGTGCAGACTACCGCTGTTGGAAGCTGGTTTTTCTCCTTGCCCCAACTAATCCGACTTGGTACATTATCCGGAACTTTCTCCAAAGGAGAACGGGCAACTTTATTATGCTGCAATCGCTTTATCGGGAAACATCGATAGTTGTTATTCGTTTTCCGCTAGCCGGTAAAATGGGAAAAGTTTTTAATTTTATTATTCACCAAGTTCGGATAGTGACACATTTCAAATGTGGCCAATGTTAGGAATATCGGATTCTCGTTTCTTTGTGCCGCTTATACAGATTGAGTTTGCCTCCAAGAGCGACTCAATTTTTATTTCAGCTTTCAGAATTAAGCGAGTTGTCGAAATTTTATAACAGAAAACATCCAAGGAGAACAAAGGATGAACGCGGGATTGGAGCTTTTTTGGTACTTCGGAGTTTCGGGAGTGTTATTTTCAGGCTAGACCCAACAGGTGAGAGCTAATGGGGGCGAAACCAGTCTTGGAAGTGCCTGAGATTAAGACGTATCGAAATCCTTTAAATCTGCTCGCAAGTTGCATCTTGTTTGACCACAAGTGCAATCTTCTGCATGAATTCACGGCGTGTATATTAAACAAACTCCAGTAATAGTTCGAAGAAAGTCTAGTGCTTTCCGTGTTTCTTTAGCATCAAGCGATTTAACATACGTTCTTCTTAAAACATACAGACTATGAAAACTAATGCTTGTATGTATGACCCAAATTGCATTACAAACACCCATTTCTCTGTAAACCTGCGGGCAACTTTACGAAAACTTCCATTTAAAAATGAACTTTTCCTTTAATTGCTGTTGTTTCTCTATGCATGTAAAATCTATTAATCTTGTATGAAGGGAGGGCCCTTTGTCCATCACTTTGAAGGACATTAGCTGAATTAAACACGAGAAATTACAACTCGGCCACTTAAGCGCGTTAAGGTCAGGTTTAGCAAGTTTAGCAACTAACTCATCATTCCAGGCTACGCTCGAGCTACCGGCAATTATGTGTTCCGACTCATAAATACGGACACATCTAATAATTTCCAAAATTCAGTTTCGAACAATTCAGTTATTAAAATAGAGGCAATTTACTGAACAAACTTACTCGAACAAAGCCGGTAGGCCAGGTATTATATTCGCAATTGATAATCACGATAATGCTCTGGAGATTACCTTGTTTCAAGCTGGCTTAAATTTCAATGTTAAACTAAGTTTTGATTTATTAAGTTAATTTTGAGGCGGTTGTATAGGAGAATGTAGTTGAACAAGCTGTTTCACATTCATATTTAATTTGAAGCGAAAATGATCAGCTTCAGTTAGAGGCTGCAGTGGGAACTTTTAAAAAGTCATTATTTCATAAACAGTTTCTTGCCAGGATAATCATAATTGTTGTTTATTGTTCTCCGAGCACTCTCTTAACACAATGCTGTCTTTCTCCTTATGCCACGCTTTGCCTCTGGCAATTCTCCAACATTTATTTACATACACTTAGTCAATACGGTAAAAGTATGTTAAAAAGGTTTTAGACTCTGATTTATTTTCAACCGCTTTAAATTTATTGGCCGCTTTATTTTCACGAAGCTCCAAACCCGGTCACATTCATGCCGGTTATGGGGATGTTTTATTTCGATGAGGTTTCATACTACATAATTCACATTAAATGCCAGGCTTCAGAAGTGCCCAAATAGATAGTGATTGAGTATGCAATAAGGAATATATCGTCGGCTAAACATTATTGCCGCTTAAAATGGGGCAATATTTTCAATTATTTCTGAGCTGAAGCGTCTGGAAGCTTGTTTCAATTTTCTAGGTATGTAAATGGTATGTGATTTGAAGCAGTTTGATAGATCTGAGTTTGTTTGAGACGTCTAGAGAAGGTAAAATACATTTGAAAAATAAAGGAAGTTGCAAATTTCGAAGTGGGACTCTTTTCCACTGAATTTGTACGCAGTTTGTTCGGAAAAATTGAAAATAACTGGAGAATAACCGATTTATTTGGCATGTATATAGTCTCACTCAGAGCTAAGTAAGGGACATCGATCCTCTATGGAAGCTATCGACGTTAGGGAAACATCGAAGGCAGAACATCGATGTTTGACAACATCGATATTCATATAGTTGTCACATATTTCGGTCAACTGACTGCAAAAAGAGGCTTTTTTCGAGTGCAGCTTGAAATGGAAATGGTATCGGTGCTATCAAAGAGTTCGCAAAAAATGTTTCTATTTAGTATCAACATCAAATGTCCGATGTTTTCATTTCAGGGTCTAACATCGATGTTTTATCGATGTCCCAAATTTCCCACATCGATGGTAAAAATATCGAACATCGAACGAATTGCATCGATGTTTGCGAAACATCGATGTTTTTCTCCCATCCCTACTCAGAGCTGAAGTTAAATTTTGTGCACTCTGGCTTTCACATAAATTAGAACAAATAACAAAGTTTTCCCTACACAGAAAATTAGTATATAAACATCTCACTTTTTTGCGCTCGAGTGGCAAAAGATTTAATTTCAGTTACTTTTGGTTAGTTTGAGTTATTTTGGATTAGTTTGGGTTGCTTTTGGTTAGTTCGGATTGGTTTGGGTTGGTGCGATTTGAATGCAAGTTGCGACATAAAAATTCCTGAACTGAGCCCATGTAACCCAAACTAACCCGAGCATTTTGCCTTAAAAATTGGTGTTCTGTATAAAAGCAAGGATTTTCTGAAGCTTTTATGATGAATTGATAAAAAACTCTCTTATTTTGCGATAAATAACGAATTCTTTATCAAAACGTAAACAGAATTATCACCTAGAGTCAGACTACACACTTGAGCTCAAACTGCCGGAGAAAATTCTACGTAGCAAAAAAAATAATTTTGAAAAAATGCGAGTCGCGTTCGAAAATGGACAGCATAAAGTTTCTGTATGTTGGAGTGTTTTTTGAGCTCAAGCTCAATGCAAAGCTTTTGACGTAAAAGGTTCCTCAAAAATCGTTTTGAACTCCAGTGAATTTACATAAACAACAAATTAATTGCATTAACTTCGTTGATGCTCCATCAACAAGTACTTGTTTTAGATAAGTTCTATATTGTTGAGGAGGATTCACTTTTTTACAAACTTCTTTTTGGGTATTTCGCCTCAAAAATTTTTGTCTTTAAAAAAGACAGAATTTCCTCAAGTCTTTTATTACAGATTGATATATAGTGCTCCTATTTCGCAATAAGAACGAATTATTTATCAAAAAGTAATCAAGAACTATCGCCTAGAGGGTATCCTGCGACACACTTAGGCTCAAGCTGTAAGAGAAAATTCCAATTAGTAGAGAAATTAATTTGAAAAATTACCTTGACGTTTTGATAGCTATTTTCTGCTATCGTTATCAAAAGAACCTAAATGAACCTAAAAAAGAGTATGTTAATAAATTGTGTAACAATAGTAGGATAATACAATATATGAAAATTCGCTCTGATAATTCGTCTGTTCAAATTGTCAGTTATGTAACTTTGACTTAATCTCATTGTTTAAATTAATAAAGGTAATGTTAATTAATAATTTTGGTATAAATTTAATTTGAGTGTATGTTTCTCTGGTCTACTTCAGATTTTAGCATAGGTAACCATGTATGACTTAAATTAAATGAACATGAAGCAACACAATTATTTTGATT